AAAAAAAAAAAAAAAAAAGACACCCAGGAAAGAGGATTTCCAGAGCTGCTTCAGAAAGTGGCAAGCATGGTGGGATAAATGTGTTTGAAGCACAGGGAGTGTTTTGAGAGGGGTTTGTGGCAATGTGTCTTTTAGTGTAACACATTAAAAACTTTAAACATTCACCATATTTGTCATTCATACCGTGTATAAGCAGCATGCTGTATGGATGCAGGGAGCATGGGCTTGGATGTAGAAGATCCTCCAGGAATCCCAGCTCTCCTGCTTCTTAGCAGTGTGATCTCGAGCCATCACCTGGCCTTTCTGAACCTTAGCTTCCGTATATCTCAAGGGGAACTTTCACACCCGTAAAGTACTCGACATCAGGGCTTGGGCAGTGCTCACCCAATTAATGTTGCTTCCTGCTTCTCCCAGGAGATGCTGTGCCCCTCTACCTGGTGAATGCAGTTGCTTGGGGTAAAGGTCAGGGCCTCCTGTCTCTGGCGCTGTCCTGGGTGCAGCCAGCCCATCCTATAGTCTCAAAGACAGAATGAGGACCAGGCACTGGGGAAGAACTTGCTTTTGGCCAGGGCTTTCCAGGAGTGGAAATAGCTGCTTGGAGCTTCTTTATTTTGGGGGACTCTGGTGGCCTGAATATCACTATTCAAGACCTGTTCCTCAGGGACACGGGTGGGACTTGGCTCAGTTCCACATTGTAAAGGCCTTCAGATGGACACTTCTGCTGTTGGGTGGGGAGGCGAAGACAGGGATTGTGTTGGTAATTTTTCACTTTTCATTCTACTCAGAGCTGCAGGAAATGGAAGTAGCCAGAGTTGATCCTAATCTCCTAAAACCATTGCCCCAGCCTTCATTTTCATCCAAATCTTCTGCATTTGATTAGTAGTCCTCTTCTGAGGTCCTGTCTCCTTCCTGTAATACCCTCAACAGGTCTCTCAGGGAGGGACTGCTATTCTATGACTCCTAATGTTCAACCAGGATGCACAGGGAGGCATCACAGCACCCATTCTGCCAGCACCTATTCTGATTGGCGAGGCCACGCTGTGAGCACGGTCACTCATTTTCATAGTACTCCTGGCTATCCCCATCCTGCGGGGGAGAAAACTTGGATGGGAGAAGGGTACGTGTAAGGTTGCACAGCTGAACCAGGACCCCTGAGTCTGAGAGCTGTGATCTCTTCTCTCTGTCCGAGCTGCCCCTCTTTATGGCAAATTAAATCACTCTGGCTTTAAAGACCCCATTACAAAGGCTTGGTTTCTTTTCTTTTTACCACCTTGGAAGCGGCTGTAAAAATATTAAAACCAATTGCCATCATCTTTCAGGCCGCTGCGTTTATGAGATGTAGCTTTCAAATGAATGGAAATAATAGGAAACTCCCTCCCCGTTCCATTCTATGGGGACATTGCAGATTTATACAATATTTCTGAAAGCTCTTATAATAGGGCATTGCACTTAGGGCATTAATGAAGTCGGCTCGGTGCTTGCTAGTCTCATTTCATGGAGCTAATTGTTAAGTGTTTTGCATACTTACAATTGAACTAAATTATCCCAAGCTAGCTGGTTTCAGGAAGTGTTAATTATATTTCAGTAAAGGAAAAATCAAGGCTAAAAAATCATCCACTTAGAGCTTATCTATTTATGAACATCTCATTCTGGAGACCTCAAACATATATTTTAACGCCACGTGGAATATTGAGATTAATATTTCTTCACCAAAGTAACCTTTTATTCTTGCCTTGAACAGCCCCCCCCCCATTCTAGGGTCATTCAGCAGCGAGTCTGGAAGTTGAAAGAAGCCTTCCTTTGTGTTTCTGGCGCCTTGGATCTTTAAGTTGGATGCCAAGAACAGCATTAGCCCCATTCAACTAGAGACGAACTGGCCTTCTGTAAATGATATTAAGTAATTAATTTATGGGTCTTGCACAGGCCATTTAGGACCAAGCACTCCCTCATTCCTGAGGCTGAGGTTTGAGAAGGTTGTTTGCACCAGAGCTTTAAACCTGGGCCTCTAGTTGAAGAGGCTGAGTGACAAAGAGCTGTCACCCTGCCTCTCAGTGCAGGGGTGCTGGTTGAGGTAAGGGTGGGAGCCCACAACACCTGTACTACCCTTTCCCACACTTCTCTGCTTTTTCAGTGGATCAGAAGTTGCATGAACGCCTGACAAGCTAAGTTCCTCTTGGATCTGAGGTTCATTTTCTCTCTTTTTGAGATACAGTCTCGTTACATAGTTCAGGATGGCCTTGAACTCACTCTGTAGCCCAGACTGGCCTCAAATGCATGGTGATCCTCCTGCCTCAGCTTCGTGAGTGCTGGGATCATAGGTGTGAACCACCACACTTGGTATTTCTCTTGTATTTTAGCTTTCTGTCCATTTGCTCCTGCATGCATCCTTTTCTTTCTTTCTTTCTTTCTTTCTTTCTTTCTTTCTTTCTTTCTTTCTTTCTTTCTTTCTTTCCTTCCCTCCTCCCTTCCTTCCTCCCTTCCTTCCTTCCTTCCTTCCTTCCTTCCTTCCTTCCTTCCTTCCTTCCTTCCTTCCTTTCTTTCATTCTTAATAGAGGTTGGGACCCTGCTCTTGCCAGGCAGGCACTGTGCAACTGAGCTACATCCTCGGCCTCTGCATGCATTCTTTTACTCATTCAGCACACATGGACTGGACTAGATAGAGGGGATTGAACTTGGGACCCTGCTCTTGCCAGGCAGGCACTGTGCTACTGAGCTACATCCTCGGCCTCTGCATGCATTCTTTTACTCATTCAGCACACATGGACTGGACTGTGGAAGGCCCCATAGCATGAGAGAGAGCTTAGGCCAGGGGCTGAACAGGGGGAGC